GGGGCCCCCTTTTTCAAAATTTTTTTTTTTTTTTTTTTTTTTTTTTTTTGTTTTTTTTTTTTTTTACTCTAATCAAGAATCCCCTTTTCCTGCAATTTTAGATAATTTGAAACTTGGGGTCCCACCCGTCCTTCCCCCTCAGCTCGAACCTAGAGCATCACCTGCCCCGGGAGGCTCTGCGATGTGGCGTTAAATAGAGGGAGCGTTAATTAGCTGGTTATAGTGAAAAGAGTCTGGTTCGGTGGCGCGGCGGAAAGAGCCGACTGGTACCGGAGATGCCCGAATGGCGGATAGAATGGGTCGGCTGAAGCAGCCGAGCAGAGACGGAAAAACCCGAGCGGCGGAGCTTGACGGAAAGCGACAAGGAGTGAGTACGCCCGGACTGCGAGCCCTGATTGGCCAATGGCCCCGGAGGGGCGCGGCGGGGCGTGCCCTGCCTCGGCGGCGCCGGAAGCGCAGGCTCAGACTCCGAGATGGCGGCGGTGGTGGCGGCGGCCGCTCCGTGCGGGCTCTGCAGCGCTCCGGCGGCCCCCTACACGTGCCCGCGCTGCCACCGCCGCCTCTGCTCCCTGCGCTGCTACCGCGCCCACGGCCCCTGCGCCGAGGCCTTTTACCGCGATCAGGTTCTTGAGGCGTTGCGCGATGAGCGCAATTCTCCCCGGGGCCCCGCGCTGTCCGGGCTGCGCGATCTACGCGAGCCCGGGGATCCAGCGCGGCCTACACGTCGCGGGCTGTGGGAGCAGCTCAGCGAGGCGGAGCGCGACGGGTTCCGGCGGCTGCTGAGTTCCGGGGAGGCCGCGGCGCTGCTGCCGCAGTGGCGGCCGTGGTGGTGGCGCGGGCGGGGGCGAGTGGAGGAGCTCGGGGACGGCTCGGGGGCCGTGGAGGAGGATGAGGAGAGCGGCGAAGGTCGGCCCGGCCCCGCGCCGCCCGTGCCGGCCTCGGTGCCACCGCTGAGCGCCCTCCGCGCCGCTCCGCCGTCGCCCTTGGTGCGGTTCCAGCTGCCGAACGCGCTCTTCGGTTACGCCTTCGCGCTGAGCCTGCACGGCGGGGACGAGACGCTGCTCCCCGAACTCCCGGACGCCGCCATCGCCGCCTCGGCCGCGCTCCGCGACCGCCGCCCCTTCGCCAGCACGGCCGAGGCGCTGCTGAGCGCCCGGCGCGACGCCCGAGCCGCGGGGCTGCCCCTGAGCCCGCTCGGCGACAGCGGCGCGCTCCTGGCCGTCGCGCAGCTGCTGGAGGGCCGCGATAGTCGCAACCCCGGCGCCGACGTGGCGGCGGCTTTGTGGCACCTGTGGCGGCTGCTGAAGGCGGGGGCGCGGGCGCTGCCGCCCCCCGAGCGGAGCCGCTTCCGAGGGGCCCGCAGGAAGGTCGGGTTTCTGCTGAGCTGGAGCCGGGGGGCCACCGAGGAGCTGGCCCAGCTCGCCCGGGAGGCGTGGGGGGTTCACGCCGAGGTGGCCGCGGAGGAGGCGGCGGTGGCCGAAATCAGGGAGGGGCTGGAGAAGGTCTGGGGAGGCCCCCGGCCACCCCCCAGGGAGGGGCAGGCGGATCGGGCACCCTGGGTGGTGACGGAGGGGATCGAGGAGGTTTTCGGGGGTCCTCGGCCGCCCCCGGCTGACAAGGGGGTGCAGGGTCGGCAGCTGATCGAGGAGCTGGACTGAGATGGGCAGATGCCAAGGAAACACTCCGGGAGAGAATCCACTGGTTAAGGGATGGGACTGATGAACATCCAGAGAACCAGGTCCAGGAAAGCTGCTCGTTAAGGGACAGGACTAATGAACTTACAGAGAACCAGGTCTGGGAAAGCTGCTCATTAAAGGACAGGACTAATGAACGTCCAGCAAAGCCCTGCCAGCAGTGACTCTCATTAAGCGATGGGACTGAGTGATCCTGGCTCATTAAGGAGTGGGACTAACCAAGGTCCCAAAAACAGAAATGACGCTCTAAGGAACAGGACTCATCAAGGGAGGGGTTAATGAGAGCCCCGGGAAGCGGATTCAGGAGAGAACCTGATCCAGATCAAGGAACAGGTCCAGAATCGCGCGTTAAGGGCCGGGACTAAAGGACATCCCACAAAGCAGTCCCAGGAGTGACACTCACCAAGGAGAGGGACTCAAGACTGGTGAGGTTCCATTAGGAGAGATCCTGAATTAATTAAGGGTGTGAGCTGATGAAGGGCTGGTCGGAGTGGCCCGGGGAAAGCTGTGCAATAAGGGATGGGAGCAACCAGATGCCAAAGAAACAAGAGACCCTTCTTGTTAATGCCCTGGCCAAAGAACATCCAGGAGTAAACTGACCCCAGACAAGCTCCTTGTGCTAATTAATGAGTGGGGGCATGGGTTAATAAAAGCGGGTGCTGATGAATGCAGGCTTTTATTAATGAAGGAGGCACTGATTAGCGAAGAGGACACTAGTTAATGAAGGGGAGCACTAATGAACACGGGCATTAACAGAGCCCGAGAAGGAGACCCCAAGACTTTATTACAAGTGATCCACAGCGATGGGGCTGTGGAAGCCCCTGTGACCTTGGGGGGGTCCCAGGGGGATGCTGGGGGTCCCTCAGTCCATTGGAGAGGTCCCGGCAGTGTCAGTAAATGGTGGGGGTGGGAGCTGGGGGGTCCCGAAGGTGCCTCAGTAGATGGGGGGGCCAGAGGGTTGCATAGGCAATGTGGGGAGTCCCAAGGGGTCCCTTGGTGGGTCGCAGGGGGGTCTCAGGGGAGTCCTCAGTAGACGAGGGGCAGCAGGCGGTGGGGGACGCGCTGGCACAGGCCCCCCCAGGCCCCCCCAAAGCGGCGCCGCTGCCGTCGCTCCCCCACCAGCGCTCGGAGCTCGCGGAGCGCGGCCCCCGCCAGGAGCAGCAGCAGGGCCGGGGACAGGCCTGGGGGGGACACGGGGCTCAGGGGGCTGGGGACAGGCCTGGGGGGCTCAGGAGGGACGCAGGGTTTTGGGGGCTCGGGAGGGACACAAGGTTTTGGGGGGCTCAGGTGTCTGGGAGGGACACAGGGTTTTGGGGGGACCCCAGCGAATGGAGGGGCGCCCCGGCGGGGTTTTGGGGGGTCTCACCACAGGGAAGGGTCCAGCCCAAGGCCATCAGCAGCTCCCCGAGGTCATCGGGGCGTCGCACGAGCCCCCACCAGCCCCCGGCCAGCAGCACCTGCCCCGTGGCTGTGGGGACCGTGGGGAGACCTGGGGGGGGGAAACAGGAGTTTGGAGGGGTCCCAAATTTGGGGATCCTCGGTCGTTTGGGTGTCCCGGGCCTTTGGGGGTCTCACCGGCCACGCGGGGGTCTTGGGGGTCGCGGCTGAAGAGGCTCCTCTGGGTGGTGGCACCGTGGAAGATCCACAAGCCCAGGGCTGGGGGAGAAGAGGAGGGGGATGTCTGGGCCCCCCCGAACTGCCCCGAGACCCCCTCGAGCTCCTCACTGACACCCCCAAATCCCCCCAGTTCCCCCTGAACCCGCCCCACCCCCATTCCCCCAATT